CCTAGGATTGCTTAATACCACTTACGCAGTTTCAGAATCATAAAATCAGTTAACGCGTCATTACAACAGAAATACTTATCCAGAAAAAAATTCAGTATGTACTATCTCCAGCGATGGGTGAGAAACTGGGTCAACTACATGAACTCGTGGCATAGCAAATTATTCCTTTCGATAATAAAACAATATTTTAGAGATATGAAATAAAAGTTTTCAGTGAAAGACATTCGGCTCCTGAGTCAACTTCACTCACCCCAACGCAGAAGGAACAGAAAGACGGAAAGAAAGTTCGTGCCTCATTATTATTGCATGCGAACAGCAGCCCTGTTCACGTGCTGACCCACTTACCTTAGGCAGGTCTGCTGAAGTAAACCTTGCGCACTTCAGTTGAACCGCGTAGCCCCTGAGTAGCAGACATCCTTGTGTGCATTGTCGCTTAGACTGAAGTGTTCTGATAAGAACATTTATCTGCTCCGATATCCGTATGTATTCGTGATTGTAAAAAAGGAATTTTACAATGTTCTCTTAAGGAACCGCAGGCGTGTGATGTGACGGAGAATCGCTTTCATACCATTTTAACGTTCCTGAGAATGGCAGGCGTCCCAATCAACACGAAACATGCATCTATACTTCATTCCACCTACAGCGCCTTGATGGCAATCAATGCTTACGCGCTGGGTCTCGCTCTTTATATGGATATTATAATACACAACGATGACTTGAAGAATTTTATGAAGAATTTCCAGGCGCTGAATTCATCTTCAGTTCTATATTGGTTGCATCTCGATTCAAGGTAGGTCAAACGTTAAAGTGTTCTTCTGCTCCTATGCATTATTTAACTGAAGGTAACAACAGCCAGCGGTTAAGTGACTACGAGGAAACACTGTAACAAAAACCGATCCCAATATGAAATCATAGATGTGAATGGTTTTGTCAATCAATATGCCTATAATACATAGTACAGTAGGGAAGTGGGCCCAGTCTAACATTGTCACTGATCCGCTCTCGAATACGAAAAATTAAACTGACCTTGCTTTAAAGGATAATACGAAGGAATAAAAGTGTATGCCACACGCCCTACAACTGTTAAGCGAAGTGTCAAAACAAGAAGTGTCCTTTAAACAGGCTCGCTCCTGTGTGACTACGAGCAACAGTGTCTTATGGGATGTGAGAACATTCAGCTACCTAGATGTGTTCTATATTATACAGCATTCTGAAGAAGGAAGTAGTCCATTCTTTTCGATAAGACGGTGACCTGCCGGACGACATGAGGTCATTAAAAAAGGTGATATTATTTAACATTTTTTGTTTACGCCGTGTGTTCCAGCTGGCGTTTAGGTGATTTTGAACGTCTGCTTCATTTAACAGAATCCTACACATGGGAAGATCAGCCAACCACGGGGCACCGTACACTAGCGGAGTGGATACCGCACCTTCAGAAAGTTTTGAAATACGTCTACGCATTCACAATTTCATCTCATCTAGTATAATCAGGAGTACAGATATATATATATATATCATGCTGATGATCAGGGCGTCCGGGATACGAACTCGCAATTCTCTTGCAGGAAATTTCGTACTTCTGCTGGCTGTGCTTTTATTGGACTAAAATTTCAAGGAATTGACGACCGACAAACGTTAGTGTCCTTAAGAATCAGTTGTCACTGGTAACGAGAAAATAAGTTTTATTCTAAATTGAAATTAAAGTTAATCCCAGTTGATCCAAACGAAACTCGAGATATAGGAATTTCATGAAAATCAATAGATATTTAAAAGTACAATATTATATTTAAGCATCCTGTTACACTCTACACAATGTATGACACAAACTCCGTCTTAAGTCCAGCAATTTATTGTAGTTCTTTTGTCTTCTTTTCTTCTACACTACATGTTTCGGCCGTAAATGGCCATCATCAGGTGTATATTCTCACGTAGCTGTTACACTGCACATAGTGTAAAATTTAAAAACACCAGCTTTCTTAATTGTTCATTTCTCCGTTGTTAATAGGTCCCGATATATCAGAATCCCCTTGCTGATATTTGTCAGATATGTATAAAATTTTTGTTAATTTACATACGTCAGTTTGATTTTAAAAATACCAAAATTCATAAATCAAATTAACGTATGTAAATTAACAAAGATTTTATACATATCTGACAAATATCAGCAAGGGGATTCTGATATATCGAGACCCATTAACAACGGAGAAATGAACAATTAAGAAAGCTGGTGTTTTCATATTTTAAACTATGTGCAGTGTAACAGCTACGTGAGGGTATACACCTGATGATGGCCATTTGCTGCCGAAACATGTAGTGTAGAAGAAAAGGAGACAAGGGAACTAGAATAAATTGTTGCACTTAGGACGGAGTTTCTGTCATACATTTAAAAGTACATTAGTTATTCAGTTTAAGTATGAAATATATTTAGTAGTTCTGGACTTGGTACAAAATGTGGGTCATACTGCAATGCAGGTTTAAAACTGCAGGTATCCTCCACATTCGAATGATGAACATATTTGTGAAGATATGACTCCCTCTGTTTTCTTCCATATGTTAATTGCATGCTGATTCATCGTTTATATCTTTCTATGAACACGAATATTTGTTTTAGTACCTTATGAAATGTTCGGATGAGGGATAAGTAATGAAATTACTAACGGTTTTACTTCTTTGTTATCTGACATTTGTTCTTCACTAATATCACCAACTGTGAAGTTTACTGACAACTAAAACAGAATTTCTTAACTTACATGGGTGAATTTCCCTTCACAGAGCTTAATTAAAACTAATTAAAATCTGCTGCAACTTTCGTTTTTCGTATCCTCTTTTTATTGCCCGGGGTGAGGTGAGGAAAAGAAGAACAAGAAATAAAAAGGCGTAGAAAAATGTGATGGGGAATTCTGTGAAACAAAAGATTCGTAAAATTTTTACCAGCCACTGAAGATAATTTTGTATTTATTTATTTATTTGCTCTTAATCAGAGACAGGTTTTCCCTTACGTGCCCTAATGTGACTAGCAGGCACTTCTCACTTCATTTCGATATTTGAATTTCTTGAAGAACACTGAAATCGAAATTCCACGTACTTTCTCGTGACATACAGGAAAGTTAAATGAAACTTAACAGAAACTCTATATGCACGCTGTACTGTGTTTTGGTACGCATGTTCAGAGTTATAATCCCCTCTCAATGAATATGTTCTTGACCAATCAATAACTCAGTTGACTGGCCTCTGCAGCACAACTCCTTGACCACAAAACGCTCAGTCACATCTCGCATCTGGTACCTGAAAGACATGCGTGCATGAGGAAACCTCGAATACAAGTGCAAAGTTCATAGTCCATAGTTCACACATATTTCTCTCTTGAATGGAGTGTGCTTCTCTGAAGATGAAGAGTGAACGTGCCCTGTCACAGCGACGTTTCGGCACAATTCTGCTGTTGTTCAAACTGGCGGGGATTCCACTAGATACACATTCCGTTTCAAGATTCCAAAGTGTATACAATATAACCGCTGCTGTGTGCTATTATGTCACATGTGTTTCGTGCTTTATGGACGTTTATGTTAATAGAAATAACTTTGAACAATTTATAAGTAGCATTCGAATGAGTCTTTCAATGATAATTGTCACGGTAACAGATATATTCTTCAGGTATGAGAAATGTAATCAACCTTCTGAATTTTATTCGAATCAACTTAAAAAGGATGCGCTGAATTTCGGATTCTTAAAGATATTAATTTGAATATTAATGTCTTTGGAATGCTCCACTTGTTGTCTGATAACTCCGTTATATTTTTCGTAGGGCAAGCAATTTATTGGTGGTGGGCTATTCCAGTATTTTCTCTAATGGGCTGAGGGGAACAACTAAAAATTCAAGTCAACTTGCCTCTGGGGAGAGATTTGAACTCTTGACTTTCCAAATAAGGAGGAGTGTACCGAATAGAACAAAAAAGAAACTGTGACAGTCTGTATGAATGAAAGCCATTCCCCAAGAATAACTTTTAAACAAACAACAACAAAATTGAGGCCACTCTCAACAACTGAAATCTCACCATTATATTACGATCTACTTAATTTTACAATTTCGGTGGTAAAGCTGAGAAGATTAATATTTTTAATTTTAAAAGATATGTATCCTTTTTAGAAAAAATCACCAGTATATACGGCGGCTATTGAGTCTACTTGCCTGTTTAGTATTGTACTTATTTTACGAAGAAAATTTTCCCATTTGTATAATTACTGTGGCTAGATTCGGCATTCGGAACGTCTTATAATACGGAATCAGATATCTGTAACACTAGGACGGCACATGATTAAATGAAGAATATGCGGTCATTCGATACAATGGTATAAAATAACCAATCCTATTTACAAAGCTGAAATGTTGGTTTAATTCATAGTTTCGCGTCGTAAAGAACATTAACGAGAATTATGTTTTCATAAACCACTTGCAATTATATATTTCCTTTTTTTCCCCCTTGGCACTATAGCCTCAGTGGGTCTAGGCCTACATCCATGAACCTCTCCGTTCACTTCGGTTTTTCTGGATCAAACACATTCTGTAGGACTCCTTGGGCGGGTGATCAGCTCGTCGCAAGACCTCTACCTGTACACAAACACAGAAAAACGCACACACACAAAGTTAACATTTATGCCCTGAGTGGGATTCGAACCCACGATCCAGGTTTCCAAGCGAGCGAAGACAGTGCATGCCTTAGACCGCTCGGCTACCGTGACCGGCACATTTCCTCTTAAGTGCAAGTTAATACTGTATCAGTAACAATGTTCAGTATCATATTTTCTACACATTGAGCTGAATGTATGGGATGAAAAGGGTGCAAGTGTCTTACTGGACCACTCAGTGAGTGCTGGCATACATTAAATCAAACATAGAGGCCTATATTTCACTGTCCTAACTACTACTAATATTTATATAATCCTCGTGTCTGAGCCTCTGTGAAGCGAAGTGAAGAAAACATATATTCAGATTTTCAGTTACGATGAACTTGGTCAGTATATACATAATTTTCCATGTGTTATTATTCTGTTTACGCATATATAAATATACCTTCCTCTTTCCAGATTCCGTAAACATGACATGTATCATCTGATTACCCTGACGGAATCTTTTACCTGGGAAGAACTGCCAACCAGACATCCTGACACGGGACATGCAACACGGGCTGGATTCATCCCAAAGATTCCAGTCATTGTAAAGAATATCATGGCAGTCATTTTCGTATTTCACACAATTCAATGCGCAGTGCGAATAGTGTATAGTCATGACATGATCTTCTCTAAGTGGTACCCTTTCGATGTAACTGGGAGCCCTTCATACGAAATAGCAAACTTGTCGCAGGTAACATTAAAAATTACGCTGTTATATTTTAAAATGTATAAGTATTTAAGTAATAGATATTCAAGTTCGAAGTAACAAAATTTTACATAAGTAATAATAATGTTTCTGTAGGTGCATACTTATGGAAAGTATTCAATAATATACTTGTGTTCCTCTTAAAATAACAGCCTTCGAAATTACTTCAGTTGTACTGAGTATTGAAATTTCTTCTAACTTCAAACTAATTTGATGGCATAAAAATTATATCTCATGCAATGATATTATCTCAGTATTAATTTAAATATGTCAGACTATAGAAAAATGTTAATAAAACAATCGATTAAGAATTCTGATGCAATATTTTTCCTGAAGAAAAAGTTACAACAGAGTTCACTTCAAGGTTATGCTCTATCGGCATTGCATTCCTCTAAACCGACATCACCGAGCCATCAAATTATACGACATTGGCTTGGTTCCTTTGCAAACACACTGTCATTCATCTTCGACAGGGTATTGCTTCCATCTTAATTGCAAGTTCGTTTATTGGGACCTTGAGTCTGTACGCTATACTAGTGTGTGTAGCCTGCAGTCAGCTGGAGAAGCTCAGAGCGGCCCTCCTGGACATCAGACAGACACACGTCACAGCAGAGCGGGACTGTGGGACACAGGCTGACATACTGAAGGCACGGGGACAGGCACGTGCCTCAGGGGAACTGTTCCGTCACATGCAGAAACAACTCAACAACTGCATACGTCACCATCAGGAGATAAAACGGTGAAGTTACTCCTAATATAAATTGACACGTCATTTCTGGTGATCCACCATAACTTAACACTAATCTTTATTTTACTCATGTAGGTTCATGCAGAGCATTGAAGAGTGTTGGAATATTCTTCTGTGTGGAAAATTTCTGGTGGTGTTATCAGGGATGTGTTTCACCTCCTTTTCAGCCATCACGGTATAGTAATCATTAAATTTCTGAGAAATGGATACACAGTTGACTATACAACGCATTTTTATAACCACTCATGTACTACATGTCCGTGTTACGAAAATAATCATATCCTCGGAATCGCATCCCCAAAATTACGCTGCGTTATATTGTTCAGAGTACAGTCTTCATCAAAAATAATTTTCTATTTCATTCATAGTTCCGTGACTTTAAATCGAGATGACACGAGATGTTTTGTAACAAAGTTCCTAGTTTACTTTCACTTTCCGATCTATATCTCTAAATATTCTGCTCATTAAAATGGATTTGCAACAAAATGTGTTACAGGCTTTAACGGGGGTATATAGTACACAATTAAATAAGCAAAAATTTCCAGTCATCTTACGATTATTTCCAGAAGTCAATGCCTGCTGAAATGTAGGCAATTCGTTGTCTACATCTTCGGTGTTCAGCTTATAGGACCAAATATCTTACCTAACAGACTAACAAATCTGTTGTTTGGTAAATAATTTACAGCATTTACGTGTCTCTTCACAAACGACAACAATGTGGTTCCTGCATGATGGGTAACCGTCTCATTTTTTTCGCATTGTTAAACACCACCTGAAGTAGATTTCAGTTAAAAATGGACAGGACGCGGAAGCACAGTAAAATTGCCTGAATTATTCCTTGATATTGATCGTCTGGGTTGCTGGCTGTGGGAACACCAAAATCTTTGGTTTAATCAGCTCTTATTAATGAATTCAATGTATAGAACAACTCGTAAGGAATGCCTATCATGAGATCTGAGTCAAACAAGTAATTTTCGACAGAGTGCGCACATCTGTGGGACGAAGAACTAGAAAATTTTGTTTAAATGCATGGGCACACACAGAGCATGCGCTGTAAAATCACACATATATAGCCCATATCACAGCAGACAATGGTTTCTGAATATGTGTTAACTGGGATCTCTTTTAACTTTTAAGTGAGTACAATACCCCATTACGCCTGTATCCATTTTGTTAACACCTTGCAACTCCTAATTAGAAGTTCCATAAAATCTCGGATGGGACCCAAAATCTGATTCTTTTGTTCACGGTAATGAAACTTAGGAGTTCGTAAGAAGCAGGAAATTCCTCATTATGCAGTTTTCTCCAACCTCCTGTCACTTACTCTCTCTTAGGTCCAAATATTATCCTTAACACCCTGTTCTCAAAGACTCTCAGTCTATGTTCCTCCTTTAAAGCAAGAGACAAAAATTCGCACCCATACAGATCCACGGGCAAAGTTATTGTATTCTAATTTTTATGTTTTAGACAGTAAACGAGAAGACAACAGATTCTCGACTGAACTGTAGCAATCATTACACTAGTTCAAACTCTTAATTTCCTCCTGAAACAGGTTCTGAATTGTTAGAGTCGTTTCCAAATACACGAACTGTGGCACACTTTGGAAACATCTCTTGCCTATCTTTACGTCATGATTTTGCCCTGCACTCTGGTGACGAGACAGCAACATATACTTCGTTTTCTCTGTGTTTACTTCTAGACCAACCTCCTTACTAGGTGTCAATGAAAGTCTGTGTGTTTCTTTTTATGGTATCTATTTTATCACCTAGTAGATTCGCATGTTCAGTTTAGAGCAATAGCTGATGTGTCCCATTTAATTGCAATCCCACCTACTATTTCTGGGCCTTCATAATGGCATATTCTAAATCAACGTTGGAAAGCACTGGCGATAAAGCATCTCATTGTTTTAGATTATGCGGTAATATTTAAGGATATTATATCCAAAAATTAGTTAAATGTAATCCTAACCATTAGTCTCTATCAAAAAACCGCCCATTTCCTGTACTGATTTCTAGTGGAAGGGTGATTATTCCTAGGACCTGGTAGGCTCAGAATCATAACGAACCGATGTGGGAGGGGTAAACTCCAGAATGCAAAATATGAAAATATTCCCTTCAACCAATTCTTCGTAATCAGAAAGGCTTAAAATACATAAATCAACAAAAAATTTGGAGATCGATTTTCACTATCACAATACATTCTCACGCTGTGCACATCGGGACATAAAGGGGCTAGAAAACCTGTGAGTACAAATAAAGGAAAAGATCCGTAAACGCAGGGCAAGAAAAGCGGTTTATGTCGATATCTGATTTGGCAAATATGCATTAATGTGTTCAGTTACAATGTATTTATACACGAATCTCGGATAATTAAATTGTAACCCTATACTCGTTTACAATCACAATACTTCAAATCAGAAAAAGATTTAATAATATATTTAACGCTCAATTAAATTATATTAATGATTTGCAATTTTTATATCATGTGCGTCCACAAAATAAGTAATTTAGCCAGTTTAGTGGCAGTAAGAATTACCCATACTTCAATTTGCGGTATTTCAATTCGAGATTGTTTCAAAATTGATACAGGAAATTTGTTATACCCACGTTTCGATTACCGAAGCTTGGGCGACTCATCGCAAATTTTATTCTTCGATCCTGCATGGCACCATAAAGACGCAAGCATTTCAAATCACTTCTTCAAACGTAATGATTTCTTAGTTATTAAGTAAGGCGTGTTTATAAAACCAATGGACATACTAGCAAGTGGATTACTTATCGCTGACAGAATTGAATGAATACAGTTATTTTTGCTCCTACAGAGCTGGGGAAACCACGCTGATGTAGCCCAAGCTGTATTTCTTTATGCATTTATGATGATCTATGTGTGCCTAATCTGCTGGCTTGGAAATGAGCTCTCCGAACAAGTAAGAAAAAAATATATATTTTATTCTTACAAACAAATCACGTGTCTAACTCATAAGTTATATCATTTGTGTACACTTCTCCAGGCTGAAAGCGTGAGAGACGCTACCTGGGGGTGCGACTGGGTGGGAACTCCTGTCCAATTTCAGCGCTGTCTGGCCTTCATCATCGCCACAGCTAACAAGGAGTTCACACTCTCAGCCGGGAAATTTGTCCCCGTGTCAAATAAGACAATGATGAATGTAAGTACATGATATTCTTGTATGGTCATAATGTACATAAATATCTTGGAAGTTCGAGTGACGCAGAGAGTAGTAATTATTTTAATTATAGCGGAAGTAAATGAGCCTTTATATCTCACGATAGAAATTGTGAAACTATTTCGTTGATCCTCGAGTAATATCAGTCTTACGGATCACTGTACAACGCTGAGAGCAGTTGGAATGTATAGCGTCGAACTGCAGGACTACTGCCTGGCGACAATAAAAGAAATAAAAAGATAAAACACGTTTGCTAGCACCACCCCAAAATTTGTGCAAATCGAGTGAAGCAATCGACACAGATTAACGGAACAGAACATCAACTGCGATAACCAAACCGGGAAATTCCCAAACACATGATACTAATGTAACAATGCTTGATAGGGAAGCAGTATTCACTTTCAGGTTCTAAGTTCTTATTAAAAATTAATAATATTTGTAACACCTCAATCGTTGGTAATAATATTAGAATTTGTGATAATTTCTCTTAAGTCGTGTTGTCATGACACACAAACAAAAGAAAAAAAAATAACAAAAAAATAAAACTGAAATAATCACTCGTTTTTGATGCTTCGGATTTTCAATTCATCAAACAATATTCTCTTTAAAATCCTGTCCTTTCTAACAATATACATGTTACGAGATATGATTCTATGAATTGCTTGCAAATAAGTCTATAACATATGGCTAATCATGAGTGCACTTCAAAATCATTAACTTAAATAAAACAAACTGGTCAGTCCTAAAGGGTTATAACGGTGGTACACCGTACTCGGGATAACTGAGTTACTGGACTCTGCCCATATTACACAATTACAAAAGACACGACATTTTGGGAACTCAATCTGATAACCAAAAGTAACAAAAGAATGCCCACTCGCCGTCGTGTTCTTTTCGAGCAATAGACAATGGGAAAAATATAAAAACTTAGAAATCGCGAAAGAAATTGGGTCTACATATGCAAGCACTTAACTTTTTTCTTTGTTTTTCAACAGATGATGAACCAGACTCTCTCATTCTTCATGTTCCTTCTCCAGATGAGGAACAGAGACTATGACACCAGGGAATACACCATTAATTAGCCCCATCAGCAGTTCACTTAGTCTGCACAGTTCTTGCACTGAGCTCCTGGATATCTCTTCACATTGCCTACTTCTGGTTTTATTTTAACACATCCCTTCACATGGAAAAGTTATGTTTTCGGTGGTGACCAAGATACGTGCACATTCAAAAATGAACATCATTGACCACAGACAAATCCACAAAATAAAAAGTTCTCTATTTCGGTCTATTTGTAACTTAACGACGCTCGAACTAACTCGGACTCTACACCGTGCAGTGATTAGATGTACACTAAATGCATTGTATAAGCTTCAAATGCAAAATTTTCAAGCTACTACAAAGGAATTTATAGATCGGGACTGAAGAAACTGAAGGAATGTTCCATTTAATATTTTGAATATGTAAACTAAAAATTAACAACCATATGATTATACCGAACGCTGTGCACAATTCTGTGATTTCAATGTCCTACACCCAACATAAAAACAAGGACCAAATAGGGAAAGAAAATGACACAAATAATTACATTTATTTCGAATATAGTAAACCCTCGTCTTCGACAAACTCTGTGAAACCTTTCTGGAATTAACAGCCTCCAAAAAAAATCATAACTACAATAATAAGAGTACGTGTCTATAAATATACTGTGTAATATAACGAAATATCATCGGAAATAAAAAAGAATCAAAGGAAAATAAAATTTAAAGTAAAACATATAAGGAATTCTTGGAAAACTATTGCCTGAGCTCAGGTATGAAATCAACTCGTTATGTTTCTACAGGCAGGTTTATAAGATGCGGTGGAATCCCATTTTCGGAAGTCGGAATAATATTGATTGCAATTGTTTTCATCAGTATGATCCAAACCGCCTTACAAAATTCCGCTCTGGAAGAAGGTTTGCTGTGCTCATGAATTATATGATCTGATGTAAATTTGACCGAATCTTTTATAATTATTTCCTATGAATATTTATATCCTGATTATGATATTTAATTTTGTACGAGGAGAAATAAAAAAATGAAGAAAATCCATTTATATAGAACTGTTTGGCAGCACCGTAAAAAGAAAAAAATTCATAAAAATATTAACCTTTTCCCATTTCCACTTACGTTGCCCTCGTCTCTCTACCCAACAGGGATAATATGGCGACGTAGTGAACATGGCAGCCTCACTGGCAGAATGCATCGAAGAAGGGCATTTTTAGGCAATGACTAAATCACCAACAGCAGGTAGAAATATTCAAAAGACAATGAGTGTGTATGCGTGAGTGCGCGCGTGACGAGATCTTTCTGGTGCTGGAGAGGACAGTGTAAATATACTGTTTTGGAAATTTCGGGGATCCATGACATGAAACATCCTAACAAAGCCATTCAAATATAAAAGTAAATCTGTGCAAATGAGACTTGCAAGTGTCAGTTTAATACATTACCGAAAGTAATACAACGTTTCATCCGGGGTAAGAGAATATAATTTTCTGAGGAGAAAATTTCGGTTAATTTCGTGACTCAGGATACTTCAAGCACACGACAGCATTAATTAATAATGTTTTGCAATAACACAAATAAAGAGATCCTGCCATTTGTGATATGACAGGCCCCACGGGACATTGTCTTTTCTAGCGGTCACACCCCACACAAATAAGTGGCTCCCGTCCTCCACAAAACAAGACACGTATTCGTCTACGCTAAAAATGAAATAGATGATAATGGGTCTATATCTGCCCCCTGCCACTTATGCACACATCCGTGCATGCCTGCAAGTGGGAAATGGAGACCACGTGACATGAATGAAATAGGGTCTAGAGAAGTTTTACCGTAGTCTTAGCGAACTGCTGAACCCCATTAAAGGCCCAGAATATTACCGGGTAGCAAGCATCAAAATATTGTAGCCTATTAGCAAAGAGCTTAAAGGAAATGTTGGGATAATTCTGTCGATATAAAACAGAACAGGAGGTGAGTGCACCCGATGAATGAGTGCACATGATGAATATATCGTAAAAAATTGCTTCTCTTTGGAATACATCAGAACTGTTGCGAAATATCGGATGTAAATGTTATGTATGTACAGTAAGTTATAAAGGCTGCACAAGAGTAAACTACGTCGTTGTCGTATTGCTTAAAGCCGATTGTGCAGTTTCAGAATCAGACAATCTGTTAACACGTCATTACAACAGAAGCACTTATCCAGAAAAAAGTCAGTATGTACTATCTCCAGAGATGGGTGAGAAACCGGGTTAACTTCATGAACTCGTGGCATAACAAATTATCGCTTTCGTTAATAAAACATATTTTTAGAGATACAAGCTAAAAGTTTTCAGGTGAAAGTCATCCGGCTCCTGAGTCCACTTCACTCACGCAAGCGCAAAGAAACAAAAGACGGAAAGAAAGTTCGTGACTCATAAATATTGCATGCAAGCAGCAGCCATGTTCACCTGCCGGCCCACGTGCCCACACGTGCCTTAGGCAGTTCTGCTGAAGGAACCCATGGGCACTTCAGTTGAACCGCGTAGCCCCTGAGAGGCAGACGTCCGTGTGTGCATTGCCGCTAAAGTTGAACTGTTCGTGTCAGTTGCAACAACATACAGAGTGATTCACGAAATTTTACCTTCACTTAGGGAGGGCATTCCTGAGGTAATTTGGAACAGAAAATGTTAATATACTAATGGTATCCAACTCATAATTAAAGAGATACAGTAATTTGAAAACTGGCGAAGAATCTTTTTTTCTTCGAATTTTAGTCAAAACAAATTAGAAATACAATACAAAGACTTTTTAAATCGTTAATGTTTTAGGAAATAAGCATTCTGAAACCAAATTTTTCTTTTCAATTTCTTAATTTTGAATTGCGCAACATTTTTCATCGATTTTGTGTTACAAAATTACATTATTTTCAGCATCCCATTCCGTAAACATATCAATTTTTGCATATCACACCGTTCTATCAATCTGTTTCCTTTAAACTGTAGTGCTTTAGAAGACGACTGCATTTACATAAGATTTTCAGAAATGTCTCCCTGCACGTCAACACAATGCGTCGCACGCGTATGAACTGCTCTGCCTATCTACCTACGCGCAACATTCAAACCGGTCTACCTTATCTGCTGACATAGATGACTGGAACGTATGGTCGCCCAAGCTGAAGCATAGCGCTGTATTTACAATGATGCGTTTAGAAAATCTACTGATACTCCGTAACTATTGAAAATCGACCAAAATTTATAAGAAAATTTTGCAGGAAATAACCCCAGGAATATGTACCATAAGCGGGGGTAAAACTTCGTGAATCACCCTGTATATCGCCTTTCCTTTCTTATGTATTTGTGCCTGTAAGAGATGAATTCGATAATGAACGTGAAGGACATGCACGCGTGTGGTTGAACGGAAAATCGCTTTCGTATCTTTTAACGTTCCTGAGAATGGCAGGCCTACAAATCAACGTGAAGAAAGGGTCCATACTTCGTCCCACCTACAGCGTCTTGATGGCAATCAATGCTTGCGCGCTGTACCTCGCTTTTTATATGGACATCAGTACACAGGACGATTTGAAGAATTTTATGAAGAATTTCCAAGCAGTGTATTTAACTTCGGTTCTATATTGCTTGCATCTCAGTTCAAGGAATGTCAAATGTTAAGTGTTCTTTTGGTCCTATACTTTATTTACCCGAAGGTAAAACAGACAGCTGTTAAGTGGCAACACTGTAATGGAAAACCTATCCCATTTTATGAAATTGTAGTTGAGAAAACTTTTTCCTAATCAAATGCCTGTAATACTCGGGCACATTAGTAAAATAGCCCAGTGTAACACTGCCACTGACACCCTTTCGATAATGAAAAAATAAACTGACCTTGAATTAAAAGATAATAACTTCACTGTACATTGACGAAAGACAAAAGTGTATGCCACACGCCTTACAAGTTTTAAGCGAAGTGCCAAAACAAGAAGTGACCTCTGCACAGCCTCGCTCTTGTGTGACTACGAGCAACAGTGTCTTATGGGATGTGAGAACATTCAGTGAGCTAGATATTTCCTCCACAGCATTCTGAAGAATGAGTTGGTCCTTTTATTTCGAAACGTCGGTATCGTAGAAGACTATATGATATCACTAAAAGAAGGCAATAATGTTCATTTTTGTTTCGACGTGTGTTCCAGAGGGCGTTTACATGATTTTGAGCGTGTGCTTCGTCTCACAGAATCATTCATATGGGAAGACCAGCCGATCAGAAATTCTCACACCGGACACCGTACACTAGCGGGTTGAATACCGCACGTTCAGATAGTTATGAAATATGTCTACGCATTAGCAGCTTTCTATGATCTGATATAATCAGGAATTCGGATACGTGTATCTCATGTTGAAGATCAGCGCGTCCGGGATACGAACTCGCAGTTCTCTTATGGGAAGTACTGTACTTTCAATGTATGCACTCTTATTGTAATCAGCTATTAAGGAAGGCTCGGAATTGATGACCGACAACCGTTAGTTTCCTTAAGAATCAGTTGTCACTGTTCACGAGAAAGTAAATTCTATTCTAAATTGAAAATAAAGTTAATCCCAGTTGCTCCAAACGAAACTCAAGACACAGGAACTTCATGAAAATCAATGGATATTTAAAAGTATATAAGTTATTCAGTTTAAGTTTGAAATATTTTTAGTATTTCTGGACTTTGGTACGAAATGCGGGTCATACTGCAATGCAGGTTTAAAAATGCAGGTACCCCCCACATTCGAATGATGAACATATTTGTGAAGATATGACTGCCCTGTTTTCTTCCATATGTTAATTACATGCTGCTTCGTCATTTTTATATTTCTATTGTCACGAATCACTGTGAAGTTTACTGACAACTAAAGCACTGTTCCCTAACCTTCATGGGCGAATATTTACATAATGTTCACATCGGGAAAAATATTAAAATTTGTGGATTGTTTACGTTTCTGAATCCCCTTTTGTACTGGACGGATCGAGAAGCGAAAGAAAAGTTGTAGAAGAATTTTAGGAGGAATTCTGTGGAACAAAACTTCATAAACTTTTGGCCAGCCACTGGAGTTAATTCTGTGTTTATTTATTTACAATTAATCAGATACAGTTCTTTCTGTTGTAAATTAATGAAAAACTGTTACATAGAAATTCCACGTACTTAATGGTGACATTCAGGAAATTTAACGGAATGAACGCTATACGCACTCTCCACTCCGTTTTGTACGCATGATCGGAGTTACAATCCCTTCGAAAGATAATTTTCTTGACCAATCAATAACTCAATTGACTGGCCTCTGCAGCACAACTCCTTGACGACAAAACGCCCAGTCACACCTCACTCCAGCTACCAGAAAGACATGCCTGCATAGAGAACTTCGGATACAAGTGCAAAGTTAATAGTCCATAGTTCACACACATTTATCTCTTGAAT